TATATATATATATATATATATATGTATATATGTATTTATTTATTTGTAGTTGGACTCAATACCTTTATTTTATTTATTTATTTTTAAGTGGTGCTGGGGATCGAACCCAGGGCCTCGAACATGCTAGGCAAGTGCTCTACCTCTGAGCCACAACCTCAGCCCCATCAGTAGGCAATCACTAGTCAACTTTCCATCTTTAGTGGGCAAAATAATAGGCCCCAATATACCAGGTCTGATCCCCTGGAACCCTGTGTTTCCTTATTTGAGAAAGGGTTTTTGCAGAGGTGCTTAATGATCCTGAGAAAGGGGAGCAGCCCTTAACTGCAATCATAAAACCTCATGATGCGGCGGCAGAAAGAAATTTCACACTCAGAGAAGAAGGTGATGTTAAGATAAAGCAGAGAGACATTTTACCATATGATGCTGAGTCTTGAAGCCTGCCATGACACATTCATATACCAAGAGACACCAGCAGCTACCAAAAACTAGAAGATGTAAAGAAAATTGTCCCTGAGAGCCTTAGAGGGAATACAGACCTACCAACATGGTGATTTTTGACCAGTGATATTGATTTTTAGACTTTTGGACTTTAAAGTAAGAGAAACTAGATTTGTTTGTTCAAATTACGTATGTATGCATTCATTTATTTATTTACTTTTTTATGACATGTTTCCTTATAGGAATGGGGATGTAGCTCAGTGATAAAGCAGCCTTGAGCTCAATTCCTAGCACTGCAAAGAAGAAAACAAAACAAAACAAAAAACCCAACAAAGAGAGCAAGAGAGAATCCAAGTATGCACAAGCCAACAAACGAGCTAAGCATCATGCATCCTTTGACTTGCCCTGTACTTGTTTTTTCCCACAGGTAAATTAGGGAGAATGTTGCTCTCTAGATGTTTGTAAAATGTTTCTCTAGGCCCTGGATACATTCATACATACAGCTCCTGAAAACTGAACAATTAGAATTTAAAATTAGGCTCGTGAACAAATGTTTACTACAGGCAGTGCAGAAGTCCTGACTGTTATACATTTAGATGAAATTCATCAAAGCAAAGCAACACTGCTAATGGTGATAAGAACACTGGAGCCTCCTTATGAACCAGCAGCACCAAGCACAATCCCAGGACTTTCTAGGAGATCTCAACAGTTAAGAGAATGCTCATCTTGGGCTGGGATTATAGCTCAGTGGTGAAGCACTTACCTAGCACATGTGAGACACTGGGTTTGATCCTCAGTACCACATAAAAAT